AAATGCTTGTTAACCAGAGGTCATCCATAACCAATACCTAGTTGGTACTATAATACGTTATAAAATACACCTTTTAAAAAGTAGACAGAATATATTTAATTGTTCATCATTTTTTATGTGTGTTATGTGTGTCGGAATGAGATCTCAGATTACTAGTAAAACAAAGTGCTCCCAATATTCAGATCTGTGCACTACGTGGGGACAGCATCTTCTTATCTTTCTAATCCCCACATCCGACTTCACAGCACAGACTTCTGTTTGATCAACTCTGTTTTTTTATTTAACTCAGCCTGGAGTGGACTAAATGCAACATTACAGCAGTTTAGAAAATATTCCCCACCAAGTTGACCCATTGTGCATGTTTTATGTTACTATTGTTTATTTCTTCAAAACTAAAGTCAGTCAGGGCTGACATTTTCTTTCCCACACAGAACGATGGACACTGGAACACCTGCAAATCTTTCCTTAAGCGTTTTATGTGCATTGTGGAATATATGTAAAAAGTGCTTTAGAGTGTAAAATTTCAAACAGTAGAGGATACGATTACTAAAGCTGGACAAACACAGAGAATTTACATAAAGTCTGAATGACAAAGGAAAAGAAGCTAGGCGTGTTTATTTGTTTAGCGCTTTTTATGTGTTACGTGAGCCGTGGTTGAGAAAGAGCTCCGTTTGCTTGAGTAACCAAACACAGTACAACAAAGTGCAGGAATGCAAAGTACTGGCCTGTAGATAAGAATCAATAAAATGTGCTTCAAGTGTTACAGTGTAAGCATCTTTGTTTATAATATGAAGTGATTAATATTATTACCATAATAAAAATAATATAAGGGCAATAAATAAGTGGCATTGCAAGTCTACAAAAAGTTTGGGGTTTTTGTGTTTAGAAGTGATTTAAAGGATGTTGTTGATGACTTACGCTTTTATATTTAACCCTTAAACACTCAGAAGGACCGACCTGATGATCTAAGACCATTTGAGCAATAGTGGTGTAACAGAAATGCTACCATGTATAGAGGGATTCAGTCTGAGAGCTGGGTTTTGTTAATAACTTAATCAGATTTGTGTTTTTGACGCATTTTAGTTCATGATAATTCATCTCATTATTAAATTAAACCAATGTTAGAAGACTTCTTAAACACAAGAGGAAACTGTTGGCATAACTTCAAACAGTATTTTACACAAAAAATGTGTACATATATATCTGATTTAACAATCAGGGGGTCATATGATGGTTGGGTTTTTCTTTGTATGTATTATTGCAGGGTCTACCTTACAATATAAAGCACCTTGTGGTGAACGAGAAGCTGTTCTTAGAAGTTTCTGCATGAATGCATCACTAAAAAAGTTGGCGCTTAGGTTCACTGTACAAATGTTAAAAAAGGAAACCGGCCTCTTAAATGTTAAATCCTCTGCACCGGGTTAATGTGTTCTTGTGTGGCATGTTTGCATGACATCATCCAGGAAGGTAAAAAAAACCCTCCTGAGTCTGTTATTGTAATATTGAGAGTAGTGAAGTCTTTGTGTTACTATTTATAGAGATGTGACTGAATACCAGTCTTCAATTACCAGTTCAGTTTAAGCACACAGACTTACAAACTTATTATGTTGTTATTAAAATGTTATTATCATTAAAATATAAAATATTATTATATTATTAGCATTAAATATTCAAATATTATTATAAAATATTAATCGCTACAGGAAATAGATAAACAAAAGACAACTTTTTTTTAATTGAAATTGTTTATATGAACAGGTAATGGGACATTTTGCATGTATCCACATACTGAGGAGGCAGTGACCCAATGATATTATGTGATTAACATCATCAGTGCAGATCATATGCTTGTAATGACGTGTTTCCACGCTGTGGCATTCTTACTGATTTAAATCATCCGCCTGGCCCTCTGCCAGTGAGCCACTGTTTTACTGTACACCTTTGTTCGTCTCGCTGATCTCGTTCAGGTTTTCTGGCCGTGCCAAAATGAGGCCCTGTGATGGATGCCATCTTGGAAGCATCACAGATCAGCACATACCAGAGACTGGAGCGACCAGCTGCTCTAGTTTCACAGAGCGCCTCATCAGTGCAGACTTCAGCCATCACCACAAACCTACAAAGTGAGACCCATGTAACAACTTAATGTTACTGTAACAAGCTTATTGTTCCATGTGTTCTTCCTTAAGGGTGTTTTTATTCAGAGATGGTATCAGGGTAGCTTTGCATGATTCACAGCTCATTATAATCCTTATTTATCTTATGATGGATTTTTGTGTAAATACCAACCAGTCATGTGAATAAATACAGTAATTGTTGAAGTATGTTTGGCGTATGAATTCAGATTTACATTTTCTAGCACTTTTGCACTCACTATGTTCATCTTTCAAATCTCCAACTGTTTACAGATTGACGCATGGCTGCTGTAAAAGAAATTATAATTTTGAAGAAATGAGGCACACTTCTTCTTTACTTGGCCTGCAGCTACACTACATTTGTCTTTTTAAACCGAACTGACAGACTGACCCTGTCTTTCAGTGATGACCTGCAGATGGATGCGGTGGAGTTTTCCACGATTCTTTATCTGTTGATGAATCACAACCAAGACCTGATAAACTCTAACTTGGAGAATAAAATTGTCAAGTAAGCTTGTTTACCCATAAATATGCAGTGAACAGCAGCTCCTATGCTTTAAGCCCTGTCTCTGAGAGTTTCCTGATTATCTTCGATCTGACTGTGACTCGATGCTTTCACGTGGCTTCAATGTGCCCCGTTTGTGTATAAAATCTCGTCTTCCCTCACATATTGTTAGATCATCTGTTTGTTCTGTCTCTGCGTCTACCTCACATCACCTTATTTGGCCTGCATCTGCATCCTCCCTTTAAGTCCTCTCTCTTACTGTAATATTAAAAACTAGAAGCAGGGAAAAACATCTGACCTGACATGTGCACTACTCTTGTACAACCTGACATCCAAAATGTATGAAATGAAAAAAGTAAAATGTTTTTTTTTGGCCTAAAATCATATGCGTAGTTTACACACAAACATTTAGCAGAGATATTCACATTTGAATTAAAGAAACTGCTTCCGGTGCCTCAGCAAGTAGTTCAACATGTTTGATTCAGCAGTTACCCCAAGGCTGGAACTGACCCACAGACTGTTTGCTTGCCAAGTGGATTTGTTAACCACTACACCCGACGGACATTTACAAACTAATTTTTTAAACTTTGTCTCCACTATAAATCACAAATGATCTGCCACTACATAACTACGCTGCATACATATTAATACATCTTAACTTTTATTACTTCAAGTACCTTCATTCTGTGTTTTACTCAGGATAAGATTTTATGTTAGTCATCTGCCTCCATTTCACCCTTTCTTTACCATCCTCGTTTGTCACACCAGCCCACTGTCCTCCTTTACGACCTTCATCCATGAGGTGTTACTCCTTTCCTGGCAGCTCCATCTTCAGCATGCTTTGGCCAATATATATACACTTTCCATCTTCTGCACATGTGCAAACCATCTCAGCCCCGCCTCTCTAATTTTTTCTCTGTTTCTCACTCATTTCTAATCCTGTCCATCCTCTTGCCTTTTTGTTACTACCACCATCTGTAAAATACACATTATAGCAGACCGTACTAACATCTTGTAAACCTTCCCTTGCACTGTTGCTGCTTCCTTATTTTACAAATGACCCCTAACACTCATCTCCACTTGCTTCACCCTCCCCATGCTCTCTTCTTCACCTCTTGTGTTCATTGTTTGATGCTTTGAATGTTTGACCCCAGGTATTTACTCATCCACTTTCAATATCCTTGCTCCATGCATCATCAACTTTCTACCTTGCTCCCCTCTGTCACTTGACTTTTATTATTTTTAATATTTCACAATAGCGATCACATATTAGCCATCTTTACTTTTATTTGTACTTCTGCAAGTGAGATGAGCTGATGGTTTGTGTTTTTGTAGCCTTGCACTGTTGAGAGTTCATAAACACTTGGCTTCTTTTTTTAAAATTTCTTTTTAGAAATGCTTGCGTGAGAACCAACAGTAAAGGACTGGACATAAAATTCTAGACTCCACCCTCTGCATTAAAGTAAGATACCTTTTCTTTGATCAGTTTTTACCGTATTCCTTATACCATCAAGTTATACTGATCCTTTTCTTTGGTGACACATGGATAATGGAAGTATATTCCACAGGTTATGACATTATCAGCTGGAGAATAGTCACGAATCCTAGAAAGGTGTTCCCTCGATGGAAAACCTTGGATCCAAAATGAAGTTATTGGACCACAATTCTTCCAACTCACCTGCCTTGAAGTCATGTTAATGATTCAAAGCTCTTCAAACTTTGAAGGTTATTATTTAAATCACGTCAGAAAGTGAGGACTGCTGTTGAACCTTATTTTCCAAGGTGCCTTCAGAGCAGATGGATTGATTTAGCACAGCTTTTAT